GGCGTGGGCGCGGTCTTTGGATGCGCGGATGTAGTTTGTGACAGCCAGGTTGACGGAGTTGCTGAAGTGCTTCGGCGTGGCGCGTGCCCATGCAAAAACGTCGGAGTCGAGCTTGCTGGTCGTGGGCCAGCGCTGGTCGTCCAGGTATGTGCGCAGGAAGTCGAAGTCCTGGAAAAGCATGTATGTCCATGAGCCCTTTCTCCGTCGCTGGTTGTCAAGCAGTTGGAGGAGCTGCTGAGGAGCGTATCGTAGAAGCCGTGGTAAGTATCGCAGCCTTCCAGCAGACTGGTGGTGGTCGAAGTCGGGGATGCCAGTGTAGGCTACTACTTCGGTGGCCGTGAAATGATGAAGCTGCGAGTTAGCTTTGGGTATTCCAGCTGCCGTGCGATAGGGCTTCGAGTAGGCATTGGAGATGCGCTGGTGGTCAGTCTGGGTCAGTGCTGGCCAGACGTGGTGGTTGAAGGTTAATGAGGCAGTCGAGAGGGCGTGCACGTACTTGATCTTTGTTTTGCGGGGTAGGCGTCGACGTCGTAGGATTTGCCTCTCAAGAGCTCGTGCCGAAGCGTCGGTTCGTCGCATGCGATTCTGCACCTCGGGGCCCATGCTGCCGCTGGTGAGGATGGTGCCTAAGAGTCGGTGCTGGTCTGTGATCTGGACCGAGATCGACATGATGCTCAGCTGGATTGATGTAATGTTCTGCTGTGCAAGCCTACTGCGTGCGACGTTGGATCCCGTCCCGTTAAAGGAGAGGATGACCTTGGTCTTGTCTGGGTGTGGCTTGAGCCCGTAGGTGAATGCTGTACGGCATAGTCGTTCGGCTGAAGTTCTCGTAATGTCAATGATGTCGGAGTGGCGGGTGGTCGAGTTGAAGTCGGTGAGGTCATCGACGAAGGACATGTTGGTCAGCTTGCCGCCGTGATGAGGAGCCGTAGAGAAGAGCGGGTTGTCGCAGGGGCGGATGTGGTGGCCGCTCTCGCCGTCTTCTGCCCCATCGGTGTCGTCGGCGATGGCCTGAAGCACTAGGGAGAAGTGCATGTTGAAAGCCGCGTCGGAGTATGGCACCCCTGGCCTGGTACTAGTGCGAGGGATCACGTATGCGTCGGTGCCCTTAGCGGTCATCCAGTGGGCCGTGTGGTGGTCGGCAACGAGGGCGCAGAGGTGAGAGTCGTCGACGTGGGCGTTGAGATGTGCTGGACAGCGAAGGCGTTGTCGTAGAGAGGGAAGAAGGCAGATGGGAATCTCGATGTTGTCGATGACGTCTTCGAGCTCGTCCTCCTGAGTCGGCAGCTGGAAAATGAACTCCCTGATTACCGAATGGAAGGCTTCTTTCAAGTCCAGGAAGAGGATGCTGCCCGTGCGAGCCTGCGTACGGCAGTCGTCTAAGAAGGTGTAGGCGGTGTGGGTGATGAAGTCAGTCGCCTTGTGAGGGACGGCGCCGCATTGTGTGTCCATAAGCAGGTCGGGTAAGATGTCGCGGAAGAGGCCTCTCAGGAACTTGCTGTTGATCTTGCCAATAGTGTTGTTCAGGAGGATGCCCCTGTAGGCTTTCTGCAGATGAAGCTGTCCTTGTCCTTTGGAGAAATGGGTGGAGAAGCCGCCCTTCGCCGAAATGGGCTCCGTCGTCATCAGCTGCATCTTCATCATGATGGGGTGCAGAAGTCGGGCCATCTGGCGCGGCGCTGCTCGTGCCATGTCGTCGGTGTTCCCGTCGGGCCCGCCGCGTCTGCCTTTCTTGGCGGCTGCCAGGGCGGATGTCAGGTTGTGGATGGTCTGGACGTTGTCGATGTGGGGGATCGGCTTAGTGTGCGCAGTCTTGTTGTTGTAGTACTTGACGACGCCTTCGATGTCGGTGTTGATGCCGTTCTCGATGTTGCCGTAGTATCGAAGGGCGTGCTCCGCGATGGCTTGTGGCGTCGTGAGTGGAGCGCCGTCATCGTCTTGGCGTATTTTGGGAGTCGGAGTTCTCTTAGGTGTACGGCCGCCGTATGTGAGTAAGGCCCTCACGCTTGCCCATTCCTGCCGAGGGGCATTCCCTGCTGCTGATAATATCATGTTGTCGGAGAAGCGCTCGAGGTGGGCGTCGCGGTCGTGGTCGAGGCGGTTTCTGAGAGCGCGGTCGGTATCTTGGATGAAGCTCATGTATGAGTCGAAAAGATCAGTAGTGAAGGTGGTTGTGCAGGAGGTGCTGTCGTGGTGTGGAGCCGTGGTATGGTCGGGGTCCGCGTGGTTGATGAAGAGGATGGTCTTGATCATCAACTTGGTGTATCCAGGGATGTCCAGGAGGTGGATGACGTCGTCAGGGGACGCTGAAGCCGACTGGTTTGCGATGAGGTGCGCGGTGTATCGGATCCGTCTGCGTGATTTCTTGGAGCCAATGCCATTCCTTTTCACTATGCGGATCGTCTTGAGGAGGGTGCGTCGGGATCGAAGAAGCGCGTAGGAGGCCTCGGTAATGTAGGGCTTGCGGGGGGCATGATGCTGCTTCTTGAAGCTGGCGTAGGCTGCGTCCTTTATCTGATCGACGATGCTCTTAGTATGGTCGTTGAGGTTGGTCTCCCAGGGAGGGTGTTGGATCTGCTGCAGGCGTCGTTGAAAGTCGTTCTTGGCTGTCTCGGAGTCGAGCTTAGCGATGTCGAGCTTGGGCGTGCCGTGTTGGTAGGCGGTCTCGACGGTGTAGGCGAGGTTGGCCTTGACAGGGAAGTGGTCGTTCTTGTGTGAGTGGTCGTCTACTGTGTCGATGCCGTACATTACGGACGTGTAGGAGATGGAGTCGAAGAGCTCGTGGCCAACCACTATGTAGTCCAGTCTGTGCACGTCCTTGCCTGAGTCCCAGGTGTAGTGGTCCTGGCCACCGCTTTTGAAGGTATTCGCGGCGATGAGAGAGTTACCTTGCAGGACCTTGTGGAAGCGTTCGCCGTTGTCGTCCTCCTTTTGCTTGAAGCCTTGATCGCCGATTGCCTGGCTGCATAAGCTGCCCGTTCGAGCGTTTGCGCCGATGAAGAAGATGTTGATATTGTGGTTAGAGGTTGCGCACTCGATCATCTCCCAGAAGGTATCCTTCTCGTGTGGCGTGGCTCGTGAATGTGGTGCATGGGCGACGCAGACTGTGTGTCGAAAGCCTGGGGCTTCGATCCTTACTATGAGGTGCCGAGGGCTGTGCTCGATGACAGTGAACTGATCGGGGCGGAAGTAGAGGTCCTTGGCTCCTGCCTTTCCGTACGGCTTGCTGGTGAGTATGTGGAGCTCGCAGCCGAGGTTGTACTGGTCGTGGCCCCCTGAGATGACGTGGTAGGCGTACGCACTCGTGCTGGTGATGTCGTTGCCACTGCGAACTCCCCAGGGCGCGCGGGCTTCCTGGATGCCGATCAGGTGGAGGTCCTCCATGTACAGGTTGAGCATAGTCTTTCTGAGCTTGTGGATCTTCTCTTTGCGCCGTCGAGCGCCGAGGCCAGGTTCGCGCCCTGACTGGATGTTGTAGGTGGCGATGTTGACGTCTATCTCGGTCGAGGTCTTCGTGGTCTTGGCTGGTGTCGAAAGGTGAGCTGTCGTTGCCGTGGTATCGATGCGTTGGGCCTTGAGCATCCCAGGTGAAAAGGATGGGTAAGCGTCCTTGGTGTGGTTGTCGGCATCAAGTAGGAATTCCCAGCTGCGCTGAGGGGACGCGTTGAGTATGTCGGCCCATTCGGGTTGTGGGTGCGGGTAGTCCTCGATTCGGGCGTAGTTGGCCGCGGCGTCGGCAACTTCGTTCCACGGGTTCATCTCGTGGGCATGAACGTGACGCAGGTCGACATATTCCTTGACGTGCGAGTACATGATCACCAGTAGCTGCACAAGGTGGGCGTCGCGGTTAGTAAAAGCCTCCATCCTGGCCAGTTGGATCGCTCCCAGCGAGTCGGAGTGGACCGAAATGCTGTGGTGGATGTCCTTGTGGATGATGTAGGCGAACGCCCAGATGAGCGCTGTGATCTCGCTGGATGTCGAGGTGGTCTCGTTGTCCGTGAGGTTTTGGATCTCTACGAGGGTGGAGTCGCGGTGCTTGCCGACTATTGCGCCTTGAAAAGAGAAACCTTCTTCGTCTTCTCCGACGAGTACAACCGACCATCCGTCTTGACCATGTTGGCGTGGGTGTTTGGAGCCGTCGGTGTATAAATACAGGCGAGAATCTCGTGGAAGCTGTCGGTATGGAAATGTTCGCACCATGTAGTCTGATACCTCGTTGTGGCAACGGTCGGTGAAGTCGAAGGTAAGCCTGGGAGCCTGAAGTCGTCGAAGGTGCTGGAGTAAGGGCTCCTGTTCGTCGAAGTCGATGTGGTAGAGGATATTGTCAGTCTGCTGGTCGCGGGTGTGAACTTCGCGAGAGAAACGAACATGCCGTAGCGCCTCGTGGCTCTCCGCATTCGGCAGGTCGGTCTGTCCATGTGGGACCTGGGTAGCGTCAAGGGAGTCAAAAATGGGAGGTTGTGGCCGGCGGGAAGTTGATGTACATGGCCGGCTCAGTGAGTCACAAAATTGTCGGTCTCGATCGCCATCTTGGCCAAAATGGCTAGTGCGTCGATGCCTTGTTGGTGGCTCTGGTCGTTCTGGCCACAGACGGCCGCACCCCCCCGTGTTGTACTCACAAAGCGATGCGTCCTCTCGAGGCGTAGGCGGTGGCGTCGTCATCGTCGGGAACGACCGTGACTGGGCTTCCGCTGGTGGAGGATGTGAGTCGACATGCTGCCGTCGAGGTTGGGTGGCGGTATCTGGTCGGTCCGCTAGCGTATGTGGCTCTAGTGTGGGATCTGTGTGAGACAGCCTTCTCGCGCTCCCCAAGCGAGAGGTAGCGGCCGAGGGGATGGTCCACGGTCCACTACTAGGCTGTAGCATGTTGGGCGGTGTGTAGCGTCTGGGCGCGTTCTCTCTCCTCCTTTCCCGCCTCTGCACGTGGTGCTGCGCCAGTGCTCCAAATGCTCCACCGCTCCTCGCACTCGCTGGCACCCCTGGACCCTTTCAGAGTGCAGGACGAGGCCAGCCGCATCTTCCGGGCCAGCGTGGTGGAGGCGCGCCGCTGCCAAGCAGGAGGAGCACGAGAAGTCGTCGTTGGACGTCGGACTCCGTCGTCGTCGTCGTCGTCGTCGTCGGTCGTCGTCGTCGTCGCCGCCGCCGCCATCGTCGTCGTTTGTCGTCGTCGTTTGTCGTCGTCGTCGCCGTCGCCGTCGTCGATTTTTGTCGCTGCCGCTGCCGTCTCAAGGGCGCCGCCGAGAGCGGCCCCCGCGCCCGCGGACGAGGCCCACAAGACGCTGTCCAGCCCGGAGGCGCGGGGGCAGTACGACGAGTGGCGGAGGCTGGTGAGGCCATCGCCCCGCCTGGGCTCCCTTGGACGACGACGACGACGACGACGACGACGACGACCAGCGATGACGATGACGACGACGACCGGCGATGACGACGACGACGACGACGACGACGACGACGACGAAGACGAGGATGACGACGACGACGACGACGACGGCGAGGGCGATGAGGACGACGAGGAGCCCCGCCCGACCCTCGGAAACCCTCGCACCTTCTGAGAAGCTTTCTGTGTCTCCAGAGAGGGCTCAGATAACCTCCCAGGAGGCCGACTTCGAGCCCTCTGAGAAGGCCCGCCCTCCTCTCACTGTCCCCCCGGGCTCCCCGCCCATCCTTGCAGGGTCCATTTTGATCCGATCGATCCGATTCTGTACGGACTCTGGCCCATCCTCCTCCTCCTCCTCCTCCTCCTCCTCCTCCTCCTCCTCCTCCTCCTCCCCTCGCCTCCTTCCCCTCCTCCACCTCCTCCTCCTCCTCCTCCTCCTCCTCCTCCTCCCCGATGTTCGCGCCTTGCAGGAAGCGGGCCCTGAGGCTCTCCTCTCCACGTCTTGCCTCCCGTGGCCCTCCGCGGCCGCGGGGGACTGTTAGAGAACGGATCTGGGCGAAGACCTGGTCCCAGGGGAAGTTCCCCGGGTGCAGGATGCCCATGGGTCGTTGAAAGTAGGCATTTTTGGAACCCTAGATTGCAGTCTACTTTAAGCGCCTTCCTACTTCGATGATCGAGTGGCTCCACCTTGTCCGTCCTCTTTGGGGGCGGGCGGACACCCAATCTACTTTCAACGCCTTCCAAGTTCATGGTTCTACCCCTACTTCTTCCGACCGACGGGTAGCCGTTTCCCACAGGAGCCGCTTCCTCCATGCTTCGTTCGGGCGGTCCGGTGCGGCCCGATGCTTGTGATGCGTTGTTTTGACTCCTGGCGCAGCCGATACGACTCGACTCCGACTCCGTGCCGCTGCGTCCGACTCGATACGCGTTCGGTTCTGATCCGATCCGATTTCCCGATTCGGTGCTGACCGTTCCTGCCCTGCCCGGCGGCGCCCGCTCCGCAGCGCGCCTCGTTCGGATGCTGCCAGGCGTGCCCCTGGCCCAAAGTGCCCCAGGATTTCCCGGGAGGCCCCCACGGCCTCCCGAGCACCCCTCGCGAGGCCCAGAGGGTCCCAGGGGCTCCCACATGGGGCGCTAACCTGGGGGCACGTTGGGCCAGGGACACCTGAAGCAACCCTCGGCTCATGGGTAGCGTTAGCTCGGAGTGGGTTCAGGTCGGGTCGGACGAAGGGGAGGAGGGGGAAATGGGGTGGTCGCGAAACCTGCTGCGTGCGGCTGGTCTCGGCCCCGGCCGCTGGGCGCTCTCCTCGGTTCATTTGGCGTCTGTGGTGCCGGGAGGCGCGGGGGAAGTCAGCACCGTGAGCTCATTCGCTAACCCCCGCCTTTCCTGACCTCGCCTTTCGTCCGACCCGATCAGGCGGGGATGCATCGACCCCCGATCGCCCACTGATCGCCGACAGGGGCCTGATAGCCCATCCCGCCTAGGAGCGTGCGGATTCGCTATCGGGGGCCTATCGGCGATCTGTCGGCGACGTATCGTAGATTCAAGCTCGATGTCTTCCCCTGAGCTGGTCCTACCCCAACGTTGCGCCTCAGCCTGCCAGACTGGCGCGTGCCTTGCTTCTGGCGTGGCATCCTCGCGCCGCGGACAAACTTATCACGATGGACAGCTTCGTCTTCGCAGTTGTCAACCACTGGGGCCCTCACATGGCCAGAGGAGCGTCACGGAACGACCCAGGCCGACAGCCAGTCTCCTGTGGCACCCGCGGCGGCGCGAAGGTATAATCGCGCTTTGCGCGTCGCCGCCAGGGCCAGAGCGGTCGCCCTTCTCCAAGAGGGCGGCGCGAGGGCGCGAGTGCGCGAAGAGTCCTCGCCCACCAAGTCGCCCCAACCCAACTCGAAGGCCCCGATTTGCCCTCCACCTCCAGTGTGTGGGGGGGGGTCGGGGAATATGGAACAAACACATATATGAAACCCTAACCCCCCCAGCCCGGAATTCGGGTCTCCGGCTTGGGTCGGGGTGGTCTGGTAGGTAGTCGAAGAGTGAATCGCCTGTCGCGCATCGCGTCGCGCTCCTCCGCCTCCTCCTGCTCCTGCTCCTGCTCCTCTCCTGCTCCTGCTCCTCCTCCTCGTCCTCCTCCTCCTCCTCCTCCTCTTCCCTTTCCTCCTCGTCCTCCTCCTCCTCCTCCTCCTCCTCTTCCTCCTCCTCCCCCTCCTCCCCCTCCTTCTCCTCCTCCGCCTCCTCCTCCTCCTCCTCCGCCTCCTCCTCCCCCTCCGCCCGCCGCCTGCCGTGCCCAATGCGGCCACGCGCATTCCGCGGGTGCCGTCGAGCGCGGTGATGACTCCTCGCTGCGGCGACGAGAACAAGCCGCGCATATCGCGGGGCGCGAGGCGCGACGTGAGGTGACCGGGGGCCTCCGAGAAGGGGTCCAGGCCTCTCAGGAGCCACGCTGTGAAAGGCGGAGGGGGAGGAGGAGGCGGAGGAGGAGGAGGAGGAGCAGGAGGTGGAGCAGGAGGCGGAGCAGGAGCAGGAGGAGGCGGAAGAGGCGGGAGGAGGAGGAGGAGGAGGAGAGGAGGCGGAGGAGGAGCAGGAGGAGGAAGAGGAGAAGCAGGAGGAGCAGGAGGAGGAGGAGGAGGAGGAGGAGGAGGAGGAGGAGGAGGAGGATCAGCAAGGGCAGGAGGAGGAGGAGGAGGAGGAGGCACGGCGCTGGATGTCTGGGCTCGTACGGCGCCTGCGAGATGGAGGCGCCTGCTCGCGCTGGCTTCCTTCGCTTTCTGACGCCTTTTATGCACAGTTAACAATCACACAATATGAATACTGTTCTTCTCTCTCCCCTTGTGACGTCGGGGGCATATTCGCTCCACTTTTTCCCGGAAAGGGCGCAGGCGCAGGGTTCTCTTTTAGTTGGTTTCCCCCCGGTTTTGACGGCTGTAGGGCCGGCGAATTTCTTTTGCGATAAATAACGAGGTCGCGTAGGGCTGGCGAATTACAAATTGAGGATGTCTCGAGCGAAACGCTAGTTTTTCAGAATTTGTTGAGGATGTCTCGAGCGAAACGCTTGTTTTGTGTGATAGATTGTCTTCTCCTGGGGACCAGAATTCAGAGGATCTCTGAAGTAAAATGCTTGTTTTCACGTGCCCAGGTCTTGAGGATGTCTCGAGCGAGACGCTTGGTTTCACGCCTCCAGGTGGCCCAGACAGATGTCTAGCATGAGGATTTGTTGAGGATGTCTCGAACCAGAGGCTTGTTTTCACGTGTCCAGGTCGCCCAGGCGGATGTCTAGCATGAGCATTTGTTGAGGATGTCTCGAGCGAGACGCTTGTTTGCACGTGTCCAGGTTGCCCAGGCGGATGTCTAGCATGAGGATGTGCTGACAACGTCTTGAGCGAAACGGGTGTTTTCACGTGTCCAGGTCGCCCAGGCACAGCACAGCCCTCGGCACGGTACATCAATATCGATACCCTTAGCATTGCAGCCTGGCATGTTGCCTGGCACGTTCCGCGGAGCGTCCCGTGGCGAGTCCCCCTGGCACGTCCCTCGGCACGTCCATTGGCACGTTCCGTAGCGCGTCCCCTTGGCACGTCCCGCGGTGCGTGCCCATGGCACGTCCCCTGGCACGTCGCCTGGCGCGTCCCTTGGGACGTTCCGCGGCGCGTCCTCTTGGCATGTTCCCTCTGTCGATTAGTTCTGGGGCAGCTACCATCTGCTCAGGCAGCTCGAGCTTACGCTCCAGATCAGTTCGGTGAGGACTCGGATGCCAGGGAGGACTCGATCCACAACGCTATATAGAGCACACTCGCGGCATGGCACATCGCAGTTCAGCACGGCCCAGCACAGCACAGCCGTCGGCACGGTACATCAAGATCGATACACTCAACTATGCACCTTGGCACGTTCCTTGGCGCGTTCCGTGGCGAGTCTACCTGGCACGTCGCGCGGCGAGTCCCCCTGGCACGTCCCTCGGCACGTCCATTGGCACGTTCCGTAGCGCGTCCCCTTGGCACGTCCCGCGGTGCGTGCCCATGGCACGTCCCCTGGCACGTCGCCTGGCGCGTCCCTTGGGACGTTCCGCGGCGCGTCCTCTTGGCATGTTCCCTCTGTCGATTAGTTCTTGGGCAGCTACCATCGGCTCAGGCAGCTCGAGCTCACGATCCAGATCAGTTCTGTGAGGACTCGGATGCCAGGGAGGACTCGATCCACAACGCTATATAGAGCACAATCGCGGCATGGCACATCGCAGTTCAGCACGGCGTAGCACAGCACAGCCCTCGGCACAGTACGTCATCATCGATACATTCAGCATTGCATGTGCCCGTCGCCCAATCAGGTGTCTTTGAAATGTTGCAATGCCTTACATTTCTATATTCCTTTCCGGGTTCGTGGGTCGATCATGTTCGGATTGGTTTCTTCTCACAGGGTTCCCGGGAATTGGGTTTCCGTTTTCTGTTGTTGTGTTTTTCCCGGAAAGGGCTCGAGCCCAGGGTTCTCTTTTAGTTGGTTCACCCCCGGTTTTGACGGCTGTAGGGCCGGCGAAATTATTCTGCGATGAATAACGAGGTCGCATAGGGCCGGCGAATTAAATTTTGAGGATGTCTCGAGCGAAACGCTTGTTTTTGAGAATTGGTTGAGGATGTCTCGAGCGAAACGCTTGTTTTGTGTTATAGATTGTCCTCTCCTGGGGACCTCAATTCTGAGGATCTCTCAAGTGGATTGCTTGTTTTCACGTGCCCAGGTCTTGAGGATGTCTCGAGCGAGACGCTTGGTTTCACGCCTCCAGGTGGCCCAGACAGATGTCTAGCATGAGGATTTGTTGAGGATGTCTCGAACCAGAGGCTTGTTTTCACGTGCCCAGGACGCCCAGGCGGATGTCTAGCATGAGCATTTGTTGAGGATGTCTCGAGCGAGATGCCTGTTTGCACGTGTCCAGGTTGCCCAGGGACGATGTCTAGCATGA